GTGAAATGGCGACAAACTTCAGTACCCTATATTTTCTATAGGCAATGCTACAAAAGCCCCTATAGGTAATCAATTTAGTGTTACAGAAGAGGTTTTGTGCTAGAATTATTGCTCTCACTCTTGCGTGCTGCAATATGTAACATGTATATCGCAATTGACATTTTCATGGGCAGGCTCTCCTGACGCGTGCGTTTACGATTGTATGTGCGTATTTGTGGGGGTGGGGGGGCTCCAAATTTTTTCTTGAGGGGATGGATGTTATGTCCTTGGGGGTAACTTTATTTTTTTCAAAAACAAAACTTTTTTTTACTTAACTTTTTTTATCATTGCATAGGGGACACAAAGTGCTCCACCCACCGGCACCTGCCATTTCATCTCCGGGCCTGCAGATGGACAAGCGGAGCCCGGATTACATGGTGGGATCATGCACGTGTGGGGGGCATGTTACAGGGGGCTGTGGAAGCAATCGGGTGGCATTGCAGCTGCTCAGCTACTTCCACCTGACAGGCAGGAGTCTGCTTGTCAGTTTTAGACACAATACCGGTGGCTTCAGCCTGTGGATTTTGTGTAAAACCACCCGCTCTCATGTCCGTACGACATACGGACCTGGCAGTGAAAGGGTTAGTGATTGTAAAGGCTGAAGGTTTTTAACCTTCATGCATTCTATGCATGAAGGTAAAAAACCTTCTGTGTGCAGCAGCTCCCCCAGCCCTCTCAATACTTACCTAAGCCTCATCGCGATTGAGCGATGTGAATGACAGTCTTGGCTGTCCCGGGTCTCTGCCTCCTCATTGGCTGAGACAGCAAGCAGGAGCCATTGGCTCCCACTGCTGTCAATCACAGCCAGTCAGCCATTGAGGAGTGGGGGTGGGGCCAATCCATGGCTACATGTGTGAATGGACACACGGAGCAGCGGGTGCTCCCATAGCATGCTGCTTGCTGTGTGGGCACCCGACAGACAGGAGGAGCCAGGAGAGCCTGCGGGGGACCTGAGCAAAAGAGGATCCAGGCTGCTCTGTGCAAAACTACTGCACAGAGTAGGTATGTATAGACATGTTTGTTATTTTGCAAAAAAAAAAAAAGAAAAGAACCTTTAGAATCACTTTAAATTCCATTGTTTAGTTACACTACTCTAGTAATCAACATTCATGGTGGCACAAGTACTTAGCAGAAACTCTCTAAGACAGCTAAGTATTCATAAATTAAGAGACAGAAGGATTGTTTAGTTTCCAACGCCGAATGTGCTTAACTCAAGAAAATTAGTACTCCCATTATGGAATATTCAAATGATTGATCAGTCATCTAGCTATCTACAAAGGGATACATATATAAAGGAATATTAAAGGCTTAAAAAACAGCATTCATTACCACAATATTTGAAAAATGTTTTATAATAATCATCCTTAGGATGAGCTGTTTTCATTTACTGTATGTGCAAAGTCATCTAAAAGTTATTAAAGTGCCAGGAATATTGCTACAGCAGATTTCTACAGGTGCTTGCACTCTAAGAAGAGAAACACAAAGAACACTTTCTGCAAGTACAAAAATATACCTGTTGAGCTCCATAAAAACCCTGTGTCTTTATAACTTCCTAATGTCATGGAGATGAGCAGAGAGAATTGTGTTTGTAGCCCAAATGAGGAGAGCAGCGTAGGGTGACAATGCTGGTCCTCCATAGGTACAGAACAGTGAGTGAGTGTTGTCACCGTAGGACAGGAAGTGTGTTACTGGGAGGATCACCAGGTGAAAAAAAAAATGTAAAAAAGAAAACAAATACAGTCATCACATCCAAGGACTGGTAAGCTGCACTAACTTACATTTTTGTTTTTGGGTTTCAATACCCTTTAAATTCTTCATTATTTTGCCAGTGTAATGACTGTATTTAAGAGTAAACTATAGTGGAATTGGGTTAATGCTTTTTTTCTTAACTGATGTTTCATTTCTGTAAATTGTTGCTGATCAGCAATAAATGATCCATCTTGACATTGCCAATACTGCTCTGCTTAGATCCTGTACTTGGAAAAAATATAGATTGAATTTGTGTTATACAGATATTTAAGGTCTTGCATTGGCAATATGCTTTAGAATATCCAAACCCAGGAACAAAAAAGGTAATATATTTCTGCTTACAGTCCTTAGATGTTGTAGCTAATTTTTTTTTTCAGGCTCTGCACATTTTCTGCAAGCACAAAAAAATGCCTGTTGACTCTGCCAGAAATCCAGTGTTATCAGATTTCTCAGTGAACTACTGACACCTCTGTTCCTCCGTAGATACAGTAAGGTGAAGTGTTGTCATGAACATGAAGTATTTTACTGACATTGAAAATAAAAGAAAAAAAGCCTAAAAAAACAAATGTAGCCAACCAAGTGTAAGGACTGGTGAGCTGCAATATATTAACATTTTGATCTTGGGCTTAAATATGCTTTGTCTGACCTGGCAGATAAGCTTATACAGAGCTATTTGTTATGTTTTAGGGGAAATAGTGGAGACCAGTGGTGTAGTGTGTGGGGGCAGCCAGTACGGTAGCTCAGGGTGCAATATTTGGGGGGGACAGAAATTGGAGAGTCCGGTTTGGTGGTGGTGGGAGCAGGGCAGAACAGCCTCAGGCATTGGCTGCCGGCATTGATCGCCACACAGCGAGCAGGCTGGTGAACAGTGAGGATAGCTAGGCCTGAGTGCAAAAGCCTCTACTGCCTCCCTGAAGAGGTGAGCAGCAGTGGACTCAGGCCACACAGCATCTCTGCCTCCCAGACACTGTATTCCTTCTCTAACCCCCTCTCCGCTCCCAACAGTGACAGCGGACCAGAGGAGAGGCTGACTGGGGGCCCGGAGGATGTGGGAGGAGCAGGCGCCTACTGGCATGGAAGGTATCATACTCCTACCCGTAGACAGAGAATGGGATAGGGGGCAGAGGAGGTACTGCAGACAGGGCTAGGGGTCTCTCTGCCATTTCCCCCTCTCGCTCTTTTTCACCCCCCCCCTCCTCTCTCTTTCAGCCCCCCTTTTTGCCTCCTTCTACACCCCCCCTTCCTTCCTCCCCTCTCTTTCACCTCCCCTCTCTCTCCCCCCCCCCCTCACCCTTATCTCAACCTCATCTCGCCCCTTCCTCTCTCTCACCTCCCCCCCACTCCCTCTCTCATCTCACCCCCCCTCCTTCTCTCTTATCCCCTTCTCTTTCTCACCCTCCGCCCTCTCCCCCCCCCCCCAATCACTGTGAACATGAAAGTTGAAGACCTCACCTCATCTTTTCATCAAGACAATAAATTAAAAAGAGTCAAGTTTTATTGGGCATAATTTAATTATTTGACAGCACACTGAATTAAAACTTGGCTAACCTCTGAACCTTACATAGCAAACAACCTGCTGGGAACTGATTTGCATTACTAGGCCCCCCTTTCCCTACACCCCAGTGTAACATTTTTTCCGTTTCTCTCCCTCTCTCTTTTCTGCATTTCCTCTGGACGGATGTTTAAAAGGTGCAACTGAAAATAAAATCTGACATTTTATGAAAAAATTATTAAAATAAGTCAGTCTGTCTCTGGTTTTATGGCTCTTGACTAGTCATTCCTTGTATCTTGAGGTGTGTACTTGCTCTCTAACGTGGGGGTGCATTTCCCAACATCAAAGATGGCCAAAAAGTCCCTTCTATCAGACTTCCTGTATGTATGTAATAGAAGATGGATAAAATGATAAATGTGAGCACAAATTTCCATGATTCTTTTGTAGAAGTGGTATAATTTTGGGTATCAGATGTACAGTGTGATTGGTTCTGTTGTCGTTTTCTTTACATTGATTCCCTGATCTTTACATTTAGAGGAATGTATTTGAAAATGTAACATGATAGATACAGACTATCTTTAGTTGTGGGATTAAGGGCAAATATTTGGTTGGTTAGAATTCTGTAAAATGATAATGGAGGCTGGTATCCATACATGAATGTATTTAAACAGAAATCATTCCATTGTGTTATTTCATGGTTTCACTTTCATTTGTACTTCCTAGAGTGACATTGTCATTTAATAGCTTATTAGAGTGTTCTTCACTTTGTAAGAGACTAGCCTTGGAGTCTTTTCCTAACTGGGAGAGTGGCCTTGGAATATGCCCTTTGGAGCGAAGCAAATTAACCTTGTATTGGTGTCTTTTGTTAGTGACAGGGTAACAGGGGAATGCGCCTACAAGTAAGCAAGCTTGATTCACTCCATTATAGCAGACGCTTGTCTTAGTAGCATTGTGTAGTGTCAGGCAGTTAGTTTAATTACTATGAGTATGAAATTCCCATCAAAACTGGAATGAAGCACATGCGCTTTGTGTAAAGTGGCTATTTGTTCTTGCATAAAAATAAAAACCATTTGTAATTGTATGTTTCAACTGAGATGACCCTCTTCAGTGCTGAATATAATAAGGGATGTAATCCATGTCTTTGGAATTTTATAAATGTGTAAAAGGGATAATTATTTCAGATTACAATGATACCTGTTAAAAACAGGATGCATTCATCGTGGTGATGGTTCAAGGACAGTATATCAGTGATACCCATCTGATAGCCCTGAGACAATCTACGTACACATTCTTCATCATTTTGGGATAGGGTGGATAAATATGTAATTTTCTCACATTAGACTTTAGTTTCTATTCTCACTGGCATATTTCTGTGTATTCTGTGTAGATGGAAGAATGTTATATCCTGAGCCTACAGTAGTTTTGCCGTTGATATTTTCCTGGGCATCACTGATGGCATGCCTGGCACTGCATTCTTGAATGTCTGTAGGTCTCTGTAGTTCTCTTTTAAATCCCTAGTACTTTTGGCTCACATGCACAGCTGGAGATATTGCAACATGCACGACATACACTATATTGCCAAATGTATTAAAACACACCTCCAAATCATTGGATTCAGGTATTCCAATCACCTCCATGGCCACAGGTCTATACAATCAAGCACCTAGACATGCAGACTGCTTCTACAAACATTTAAGAAAGAACGGGTCCCTCTCAGGAGGTGAATTCAAGCGTGGTACCATGATAGGTTGCCACCTGTGCAATAAGTCCATCCATGAAATTTCCTTACTACTAAATATTCCACAGTCAACTGCTAGTGGTATTATAACAAAATGGAAGTATCTGGGAACAACAGCAACTCAGCCACGAAGTGGTAGGCCACATAAAATGACAGAGCAGGGTCAGCGCATGCTGAAGTGCACAGTGCGCAGAAGTCGCCATCTGTCTGCAGAGTCAATAGCTAAAGACCTCCAAACTTCATGTGGCCTTCAGATTAGCACAACAACAGTGCGTAGAGAGCTTCATGGAATGGGTTTCCATGGCCAAGCAGTTGCATGCAAGCCTTACATCACCAAGTGCAGTGCAAAGCGTCAGATGCAGTGGTGTAAAGCACACCACACTGGACATAGAGCAGTGGAGACGTGTTCTCTGCAGTGATGAATCACACTTCTCTGTCTGGCAATCCGATGGACATGTTTGGGTTTGGCGGTTGCCAGGAGAATGGTACCTGCCTGACTGCATTGTGCCATGTGTAAAGTTTGGCAGAGGAGGGATTATGGTGTGGGGCTGTTTTTCAGGGGTTGGGCTTGGCCGCTAAGTTCCAGTGAAGGGAACTCTTAAGGTGTCAGCATACCAAGACATTTTGGACAATTTTATGCTCCCAACTTTGTGGGAACAGTTTGGGGATGGCCCCTTCCTGTTCTAACATGACTGCTCACCAGTGCACAAAGCAAGGTCCATAAAGACATGGATGAGCGAGTTTGGGGTGGAGGAACTTGATGGGCCTGCACAGTCCTCAGTCCTGACCTCAACCCAATAGAACACCTTTGATATGAATTACAGCAGAGACTGTGAGCCAGGCCTTCTCATCCGACATCAGTGCCTGACCTCACAAATGCGCTTCTGGAGGAATGGTCAAACATTCCCATAGACACACTCCTAAACTTTGTGGACAGCCTATGCAGAAGAGTTGAAGCTGTTACACAGTTAAGTCCATATATATTTGGACACAGGACCAATTTTCATACTTTTGGCTATGTATGTCACCAGGATAAATTAAAACAAAACAATCCAAATGAATTTGAAGTGCAGACTTTCAGCTTTAATTCAAGGGGTTGAACATAAACATCAAGTACAAAATGTAGGAACTTCAACCATTTTTATACACAGTCCCTCCATTTTCAGGGGATCAAATGGAATTGGACAAACAAATATAATCATAAATAAAATGTTCATTTTTTATATTTTGTTGAGAATCCTTTAATGGCAATGACTGCCTGAAGTCTGGAACCCATGGACATTACCAAAGACTGGGTTTCCTCCTATCTGATGCTTTGCCAGACTGTAGCAGTCTTCAGTTCTTCTTTGTTTGTGGGTCTTTCTGCCTTTAGTTTTGCCTTCAGCAAGTGAAATGCATGCTCAATTGGGTTGAGATCAGGTGATTAATTCGGCCATTACAGGATATTCCACTCCTTTTCCTTCAAAATCTCCTGGGTTACTTTTGCAGTGTGTTTTGGATCATTGTCCATCTGTACTGTGAAGTGCTGTCCAATCAACTTTGCTGCATTTGGCTAGACCTGGGCTGACAGTATATCTCTAAAACCTGCAGAATTGATCTGGCTGCTTCTGTCTTCTCTCCCATCATCATTAAACACCAACGACCCAGTGCCACTGGAAACCATGCAAGCCCATGCCATCACACTGCCTCCACCATGTTTTATGCTGACGTTGTGTGCTTCGGATCATGAGCTGTTCCAAGCCTTCTCCACACTTTCTTCTCGTCATTCTGGTACAGATTCATTTTAGTTTTATCCATCCAAAAAATGCTTTTCTAGAACTGGTCTGGCTTTTTTAGATATTTTTTGACGAAGTATAATCTGGCTTTTCTTTTGTTCAGGCTTCTGAATGCTTTGCACCTTGCGGTGAACCCTCTATATTTACTCTTGTGAAATCTTCTCTTGATTGTAGACTTTGACAAAGATATGCCCACCTCCTGGAGAGTGTCCTTCACTTGTCTGGATGTTGTGAATAGGTTTTTCTTTACCGTAGAGAGAATCCTGCGATCATCCACAACTGTTGTCTTCCGTGGACATCCATGCCTTTTTATGTTGCTGAGCTCACCAGTGCTTTCCTCAGAATGTACCAAACTGTTGATTTGGCCACTCCTAATATTGTTGCTATCTCTCTGATGGATTTGTTTCATTTTTGAAGCCTTACAGTGGCCTGTTTCACTTACATGGACAGCTCCTTTGAATGCATGATGTAGGTTCACAGCAATAGATTCCAAATGCAAATACCACACTTATGATCAACTCCAGACCCTTTACCTGCTTAATTGATGAAGAACTAATGGAGTAGCCCACACCTGGCCATGAAACAGCTTTTGATTCAATTGTCCAATTACTTTTGGTCCCTTAAAAAAAAGGGAATGGCTTCTCTTAAGAGCTGTAATTCCTAAACCCTTCCTCCAATTTGGATGTACATACTCACAAATTAAACCTGAGAGAGTGCACTTTCAGCCCATATCCATTATATAATTATAGCTTGAATATGTTTTGGTAAATACCTGAAAAAGAAAAGAAAATTGTGCCTGTGTCCAAATATATATGGACCTAACTGTAGCTGAAAAGTGTGCACCAACTCAATATTGAACCATATAGACGAAGACTGGGATGCCATTAAAGTTCATGTATGTGTAAAGGCAGGCGTCCCAATACTTTTAGTGTATGTACAGTTGTGTTAAAAATAATAGCAGTCAGACATCACTAACCTGATCAGTCACTGTTTTTGGTAGAAATTATATTTCTACATGGCTAATAATTTACTAGCAGGTGTAGTAGAGTAATAGAAATCCAACAGACCCAACAGTCATGACATGCATGCTGCTGATTCTGTGTAATTGAATCACTAATTGAAAGGGGCATGTTCAAAATAATAGCAGTGTGGAGTTCTGTTAGTGAGGTCATTCATTCTTTGAAAATCAGGTGGCAATTATTGCCCTTATTTAAGGAAGGAGGGCAGCAAGTGTTTGTACATGCTGGTTACAGTGCATTTCTCTCTGAAATTATGAGGAAAATGGGTTGTTCCAGACATTGTTCAGAAGAACAGCGTACCTTGATTAAAAAGTTGATTGGAGAGGGGAAAACATATGAAGAAGTGCAGAAAATGATAGGCTGCTCAGCTAAAATGATCGCAAATGCTTTAAAATGGCAACCAAAACCTGAAAGACGTGGAAGAAAGTGAAAAACTACCATTCGAATGGATAGAAGAATAGCCAAAATGGCAAGGAATCAGCCAACAATCAGCTCCAGGAAGATCAAAGAAGGTCTAAAGTTACCTGTGAGTACTGATACAATTAGAAAACGCCTATGTGAAGCCAAGCTATCTGCAAGAGGCCCCCGCAAAGTCCCACTGTTGAAAAAAAGACATGTGCTGAAAAGGTTACAATTTGCCAAAGAGCACATTGACTGGCCTAAAGAGAAATGGCGCAACATTTTGTGGACTGATGAAAGTAAGATTGTTCTTTTTTGGGTCTAGTGGCCGGAGACAGTTTGTCAGACGACCCCCAAACACTGAATTCAAGCCACAGTACACTGTGAAGACAGTGAAGCATGGTTGCGCAAGCATCATGATATGGGGATGTTTCTCATACTACGGTGTTGGGCCTATTTATCGCATACCAGGGATCATGGATCAGAATACTTGAAGAGGTCATGCTGCCTTATGCTGAAGAGGAAATGCCCTTGAAATGGGTGTTCCAGCAAGACAACGACCCCAAACACACCAGTAAACGTGCAACATCTTGGTTCCAGACCAACAAGATTGATGTTATGGAGTGGCCAGCTCAATCCCCGGATCTTAATCCAATAGAAAACTTGTGGGGTGACATAAAAAATGCAGTTTCTGAGGCAAAACCAAGAAATAGAGAAGAACTGTGGAATGTAGTCCAATCCTCCTGGGCTGGAATACCTGTTCACAGGTGCCAGAAGTTGGTTGACTCCATGCAACACAGATGTACAGCAGTTCTCAGAAACAGTGCTTATACAACGAAATATTAATTAAATGATTCAAAGGAAAGCAAAATCTTCAAACATTTTTCAGTTTATATAGTGAATGTTTGAGTTTGAATACAGAAGAAGAATACAAACACTGCTATTTTTTGGAACTGTCTAATATTCACTTTTCTTCAATTTTTTTAGAGGAACAACACAAATTTGATATATTTTTCTTTATGTTTTGAGTTGGAATAGAATGTGTAGTGTTCCCAATGCATTTGTGTGTATGGAAATAAAAGCTATTAGAAGGATTTTGAGCTTTCACTTTTTTCAACACACTGCTATTATTTTGAACACAACTGTACCTCCAATACCTAAATAGTTTAGGACATTTCTATTTTATAAATAACAAGGGTTCTGTTCAGAATTAAAAGTTGAGTAAGTTTTGTGTGGGTAAGGCAGAGACTTTAGTCAATTGTCCCGTATCATTTTCATATCCCAGCCCTTCCTACATGGTAGGGAAGTACTCTGTACATGGCGAAGTAGGGTTTTATATACTATAGAGATTGGGCTTTATAATTCTCCATGCTAGCTATGTGTCATAAAGGAATGATAAAATACAGTATGTCTACTTGTAAAGTTTATATTGTGCCAGCAAGGTATGGCATGACTGTACGTGCAGAAAAAAAAAACAAATTTTGGAATCTCATATTATTTTTGCAGAGTTTGACGTTTTTTAAGAACCCAGTTTCCTATAGAATTAGTGCATATTTACCATGCTGGATCAGCCTGCACAGAGTCCTGACCACAGCCGTTCGGAATGTATTAGAGCAGAAACTTCAAGCCTGGCCTTCTCATCCGACATCAATGCCTGACCTCACAAATGTGCTTCTGGAAGAATGGCAAAGCATTCTCATAGACACACTGCTAAACCTTGTGGACAGCCTTCCCAGAAAAGTTGAAGTTGTTATAGCTGCAAAGGTTGGGCCAACTCAATATTGAACCCTACGGACTAAGACTGGGATGCTATTAAAGCTCATGTGCATGTAAAGGCAGGCGTCCCAATACATTTGGCAATATGGTGTATGTCAAATGTACAATTGCTAATGTGCCATGTAGCTGATAAATGCAACACAATGATTTTTTTGACCAAGTAGAAGAAGAAAAAATTCTTAAGTAAAGATAATAGAATGACCCACATTGTGAATGCAATTCAATTGCATGGAAATAAAAATGATTTTAAAAAAGTGTATTTATAAAACGTACAGAAGTAGTTTGTTTTGAATCTATATTCTTGTCTAAGCAATATTAAAATTATATAGTTTTATATGCTATAATATACAGTCTGTTTGTAACAAAATGTGTTTGTAGAAATACATACACAGTATCAGGGGCGGACTGAAAACTCCTGGGCCCCCGGGCAATAGGGGATCATGGGGCCCCTGTGTCCTTGCCCAAACTCAAAAAAGCCTATGAAAAAGGCACCCGGGGCATCTCATGGGGCCCCCTACTGAGCCCGGGCCC